GGATGGATGGATGGATGGATGGATGGATGGATGGATGGATGGATGGATGGATGGATGGACGGATGGACGGATGGACGGATGGATGGACGGAGAGACAGAAGAGATGGAGGGAGGGAGGGATGGGGCAGAAAGGTATAGAGAGAGATAAGGCAGATAGGTAGATATGATTCACAGTTTAGGGAGATGAAAAGTTAAACAGAGATATAGAAAGATTGGAGAGAGGGAAGGAGGTATATATAGAAATAAGACAGGTAAATAATTAGATAGATATGATTCACAGACTCCGCTAGAGTGGGTGGCTATGGAGGAGGAGGAGGAGGAGGAGGAGGAGGAGGAGAAGGATTAAAGATAGATAAGGACATAGATAGGATTCAGGATCAGACAGATTAGACAGACAGACAGATAAGACACATAGGTAAATATGAGATAAAAGAGACAGTGTGAAAGATCCAAGGACTCACACTATAATAAATAAAAGAACAGAAGTTATTTTTGCTGAGAAGGCAACACTGACCAATGGTTAAGGAACCCTAAGATAAGAGAGAGAAATTTTCCACCCTATGTTACATTGAATTGGACACTGATCCAGAGGTTTCGCTTTTTCTCACAAGGAACAAGGTATATCAGAAACGCTCGCTTTGCATTAGCCCTGGCAGGACAAGTGGCCATTCTGTCATTCAGTATGAGTGACTTATCCCTAAGGGCGCTTCAGTTTGTCTCGCGCTGCTCGAGCACAGCTTCTGTTCCTCCAAAGTAGCATCAGCACCCATAGAGAGGAAACAGCTCCTCTTGAAAACCAAGACGACAAGCGAATTTGAAAACCACGAGGACAGGGACATCCCAAAAGCAGAGAAGCACCAAAATACAGAGAAAGTGCACGTATCTCCTCTAGAAACATTCTGAAATTTCCAGGTCTCCCTTCTTTAAGTTGTCAAGGGGTAGTATCAGTTTTGAAGGCTGCCTCCTAAGAGAACATTTCAGAGATCTTCCAAGTGGATTCTCAGCTGGGCATTCAGAGAGTGGAGACCAGAACTCATTGTGCACCCAGTTCAGGAAGGCTACCTTGTGTGTGCGGGTCTTTAAGTCAGTGTTGACTCCTGGCGACTACCTGGACAAGTCCCTGAGGTTTTCTTGGCAAGATTTTGAAAGTGTTTTGCCATTACCTGCTTCCTAGGGTTGAGACAGAGTGACTGGCCCAAGGCCACCCAGCTGGTTTTGTGCCTAAGGTGGGATTGGAACTCATGGTCCCCTGATTTCTAGCTTGGTGCCTTAACCATTATACCAAACTGGCTTTTCCATCAGAAAGAGGGGGAAAGTCCCTACCAGTTGGTTTTCCTGACCAGTTAGCTTTCTATATGCAGAGAGACCTTGTTTCAAGTAGAAGTTCATGGAAAGAAAAGTGATGCTCCTCACCCCCAGGCTGAAAGCCACAGGATTATTTCTATCTTTGCAATCTCTTTCAGGAGTTGATTGGGAAACCCCACAAACATTCATCAGGAGAATAAGAAAAGGTGTTAAATCAGACCATAGCTTGTTAAATCAGACCAGAGACTGGAAAGCTGCCAGCTTCCCTCCATTACAGACATACTGTAATGGGAAAGACCTTGGGAAGGTGGGTGAAGAGACGATGCCAAGGGAATGATCAGATAAGAGAGGGCATAGCCCACAGCTGCATAATGGGTGAAAGAGCCTCAGAAAGGACTCCCCCTAACCTCTTAGGCTGTAAAGGAGATGGTGGGAGATTTGTACTTTCAGACTTGCAAGATTCTGTTAATGTAGCCGACATACTGTAATGGGAAAGACCGTGGGAAGGTGGGTGAAGAGACGATGCCAAGGGAATGATCAGATAAGAGAGGGCATAGCCCACAGCTGCATAATGGGTGAAAGAGCCTCAGAAAGGACTCCCCCTAACCTCTTAGGCTGTAAAGGAGATGGTGGGAGATTTGTACTTTCAGACTTGCAAGATTCTGTTAATGTAGCCCTACAATAATGTAGAATTAGTTCATCTGGTCGTGTTTCCTGTCTGGTCTACCTGGGAAGCCTGACGCATATCTTGTTATGTTATCAACCACTGATGTTTCTGATGTCCTGATTTTCTTGGTGGAGGGAGGGTAAGGCTATTTTGCAGTAGGGTTATGATGGAAAGCAGGCTGGGCCACTTTCTGAGATTTTCTAGAGGTATTTTCTCAGGGTTTTTGTTTTGTTTTTGAGGGGGGTGATGTGATTTTTGCATTCCTCTACCAAAATCAGAAGCCAAATTGTGCAGGTGCATTTAGGAAGAATTAAGAAGGCCAAAAAAGGAATTGGGGGTCCATTGCACCCCAGGACGCCCACCCTGGCTGAGACTATATGACCAGCCATGGAAGTGCAAGATTCCAGAGTGGCACATTTCTCCATTCCACATGGAGAGGTTGAGGATTGGGACCACCTGCTTGCAGATTTCCCCCAGGGCACGTGATACGAGTCTGGTAATCTCAGATGATCAAGATTCTGCACTCAAAATCCCCCTTTCTTGGCTTTAAAACTCCTTGAAGTCTCAACAGAAAAGAAGATCTGTAGCTCAGGGTTGAACTGTGGAGCTCTGAGCTTGGTTGTTTTCTTGCTGATGTTTTATGACCCAACTAGGTAACATCTTCAGTGCTTCTAAAGATGAAGATGTCATCTAGTCAGGTAATGAAACGTCTGCAAGAAAACAACCAAGCTCAGAGAACACCAAGGACACCAGAGTCATTGAAGTCTGCATAAATTGGGCTTTCTTAGGTCACGCTCTATGGCTATGGGGCTTTTCAAATCAGGGCACTCCCCAGAACATTAGCCTAGCAAATCCCAGTTTTCAAAGTCTCAGAGAAGAACCTTGGCACCTTTCCCCCCACGGTGCCTGTGAGAGAGTCCCAAATGTCTCTCAGTGCAGGTGACATAAGAAGGGAACTTTTACATTGCTGGAAGAGTTGATCAAGCCTCCCGCTAGGCTCCGCTATTACGGCGATCAGAAACCATTTCTCCAGACAAAGAATGCTAAGTACTAACTGTAATTGCAGCTCGCTTAAAGGTCAAAATCCTACAGACAGGCAGGACTTGCAAAGATGGTTAATAGAGAGTGGGAGAGAGATACAGCTCAGACAATAACGGGAACAGACTCGTGAAAGCCACCAATGACAAGGTGAGTGAAGGATGGACGTCACCACGAAGAAGCATTTGGGGGGGGGGGGGGCCCAAGAAGGAACAAGAGTGAGGAGAGAAAGAAAACTGAGAACTCCTCAAGCAGAAGCTGCATTCAAGCTGTTCTAATAGCAGGAGAACAGGAGCATCATTACAGGCAATTTTTCCGTTTCTGGAGGCACGGTGGTGAGATTTATCTCACAAAGAGCTGTGATGAATGGGAAGGGTGGTTTCATCACAAGCCTTATTACAAAAGCACAAAGGCATGAGAAACACTGGCTCACCTCTACTGTGCCAAACACCGAGGGGAGAACGAGGGGGTCAGGGAAGTCTTTGGAGAGTTACGAACCCCTTAGTGGATGGAAACACAGCATTAACAGATCCTCCGCCGAACATCTCAGCGGGATGCTTTTGGGAGGACAGCAAAGGGTGTGGGGCTTTGTGTGCAGAGGCCAAAAGAGTTTGCACAAGGAAAAAAAAACGCATTGGGCCCATCTTGGATCAAAAACTAGGGGGCTTCCATCAACTACAGTTTCGTTTTTGCTCCAGGCAACTGTTCGAGCTGGGACAATCACAAATGAGACCAGCTTTCTCTACATTGCATATTGTATTACTGGTAACCCTTTAAGGTAGACCAGGAAACAAACATGACAAGAAATGCTTCAGCCGTATGCTATGGATACTCTAGCTCTAAGGCCAGAATATTGAAAGTCTGACAGTGTGTACCAAAGAAAATCAAGACAGGGCCATCTTGAGCTTCTTTCTCACCCCTTCCTATTTTCCTGGGCTAAGCTCACCTTTCATTAATGGTTGCCCCATATTTTCATCAAGGGCCTCTCCGTGCTCTACAATGATAATGTTATCATATATGGCAAAGCCCTCTCAGATTGTCCTCTGGTTGAAAGGATATTGCCAAGTTGTGAAAGGGTGCAGAAGAGGCGATTGCTCCTGGGTTAGTTGAGAGGAAGAGCCTGGAAGAAGTTGATGAAATTATTCACCCCGTGGGAGGAAACAGATCAAGATTTTCTCTCCTTGTCCTAAAAGGAGCAGCCAGAGTCAGATCACATGAAATTAGAAGGTGATCTCTTGCATGCTGGACAATTGCAATGCACCTACCCCTTTTCAACTATCTGGTATGCTCTTAACCTGCTTAGGCTGCTGAAAGGAAAATAGCATACCAGGAGATGAAGCTGTTGACCCATCAACTTTACACCATCACCAGTGTCTGAATGATCATCAACCAGCCTTCCAGGAATTGTGTAATATGATTTAAGCTTTGTGTTTGTGTGTGTGTGTTAAAGATCAGAATTGGAATACTCTATCTCAGCCTCTCCCTCCCATTTCATGTATCCCTCCTCCCCAAATGTCAAGAAACCAGACACACAGGGTACCTATGTAGGTTGGGAGTCTGTTGTGACCCCATTAGAAGTTGCCTTCAACAGCTGGAGACCAAAGGCCTCAAAGAAATGACTTCGTGGGCAGTTGAAGAAGAGCCTCCTCTCCTGCCCTCCTGTGTAAGCTGCTAGCGGATAACACAAGACCCCTTGGTATAAATCTGCAATATTTGGCCTGCTGAAACTTTATGAATGTGGGAGGTGCCATGTTATGGTGCAACAGCAGAACGATGCAACGATAGACTATTGCAACGGTTGAACGTTGCAATGGTAGAAACTGGAAGACAAGTCTGGAAAAGGAGCTGGCATTCTTTGCCCTACCTGTGGATGAAATTCTTCTTCTCCAGATACTCCATGGCAGAGGAAATCTGGGTGGCCATGTAGAGGAGCACAACGGCATTCACTTCTTGCCTGTTACAGTCCCGCAAATAATCCAGCAGATTCCCATAGGTCATGAACTCGGTGATGATATAAAACGGTGGCTCCCTCGTACATACACCTGCCAAACAATTTGGAAAAAAAGCAAAAAGAACCTAAAATAAAACCCAGATCTTCGGCAGGCTTCATCTGCTGACCTTAGCGCAACGCCGGAGACAGAAGGGAAAAAGAAATGCTTCCCAAATTGCACCGAAGCTCTAGGCCTTCCATAGATTAAAGGCACATAAGAAGAATTCATTAAAAACCTTGTTCTGCTTTTTTTTCTTCCAGTAATAAATTGCCAGCCACTGACAAAGAACTGAAACATCTCTATGTGAAGCTACGGTGCAGTGAGCAGCTTATTGGCTTCTTAACATCCACGGCGCCACGCAGGGTCTCCCGTCCGTGTTGCCCTGGCTGGCATTTATGTCACTTACCCAGTAATTGCACCAAATTTGGATGCTTGATTTCTTTCATTACCGCTGCCTCCTTCAAGAACTCTTCTACCTCCATGGTATCCTCCTGTGACAAGAAGAAGAATGGGAAGAAGAAGGAGTCAGACCCAAAGGTTGGGTGCTGGGAAAAAGAAAGCTATTTCAGTACAATCACTAGAACATCTCTCCATAATGGGCTACAATTCCTGTAATTCCCGGCCAGCAAGGTGAACTTCAGTGCAATCCGATAAAGAATCCAGCAGTCATTTTGTTAATAATATCTGGGTGCAGTTAAGCCACCTTCTCAGAAGAGAAAGAGTTTTCTCCCCATACCACCAAAAGACTGGGAGGAGAAGCTAAACAAAAAGTTAATTGCCTATAGATACAGAAACGAGAACACTTGTTGGAATTCTTGTGCAGCCCCTTAACCTTTTTTTTCCTAATAAAAGCTATTTGCAGGACCATTGTTCCCCAAGAGAATCTGTCCATCCCATACAATAGGAAAGGTCCCTTCTTTGAAAGGATGTCATCTTATGGGACCCAGGAGGTGGGTCTTCTCGGTAGCAGCTCCTGCCCCTTTTCAAATGATGCCCCCCAATACAGTTGACCCAATCCTATAGGCCTTTAGAAAGGCAGCGACAGCCTTGCGAGGTAGTCCAGACAAGAAGCACACCCAGAATTACTAGCTCTAACTTTATTATAAGGTGCCATTAACAGAATCTTGCAAGTCTGAAAGTAACTCTCTCCCCCCTCGCCTTCACAGTCCCAGAAACTAGGGAGGGTCCCTTCTGAGATGCTTCCCACACCTCTTTTCCTTCTGTGGGCTAAGTTGCCTCTTTTCTGACTGCTGACTTGTCTGCGGCTCTTCCTCCTGTCTCCCAAGGTCCTTCCCACATCCCATTACAGGCAGCAAAGACCTGAGTCTTCTGCTGGGTGCTTGGGTTAGGATGAGCAGAGTTCCCACCTGGTGGGACACAACACATTTTCATTCCTGATTGCCACTGTTTTCTTTTGTATTTTGTTAGCATTTTTTGGACACCACCCAGAATCACGTTGTTTGAGTTGGGCAGCCATATAAATGTTCTAAAGAAATGAATGTGACTAATCAGAGCTCAGACAGGTGTGTGTCTTGGTGGCTCATCTCCAATCCCTTTCCCCCCCCCAATACCTTTATTACAGATTTTAACAATAGTAAAAGATAATACTAACTGTGATCTGAAAGAAAAGTAGAAAAAAATTAAAAGTGCAAAAAGGAAGAACAAGAAAGAAGAAGA